AAAAAAGGTGATTCTACGTCGTTTGTCATCACCGGATTTGGCCCATTCGGAGGTGTAGACGAAAATCCCACGACGTGTATTGTTCGTCAGCTGGATTCCCATCTGCGTTCTTCGAATCCGGATTGTCCTTCTTCCGCCAGCAACAACACGAACGRCTGCAATGTGGCCTTGGCGGATTGCGTGAAAGAATACATAGTGTTGGAGACATCTGCCGAAGATGTGAACAAGACAATGGATCGCGTTAAGCGGGAATATATCGAGGCACCCAAAGCAAAGGAACAAGAGCGACCCCAGAAGATTGTTCTTTTRCACCTCGGAGTAGCCCGATCCTCATGTTTCCGGCTCGAGGCTTGCGCCTATAACGAGGCCACCTTTCGAATCCCCGACCAAAAAGGGTATCAACCCATGGCAACACCAATCGTACCCAGTCACGAGTTGGGAAAATGTTACGAGACGACCCTGGACCTGGAAGGCCTAAAGCAAACACTAGAAAAAGAATTTCCAGCCATTAGCACGAGCCTGTCAACTGATCCCGGACGATACGTTTGTAACTATGTCTACTGCAAAAGTCTAGAAATTTCCTTGCCGTATTCGATGGACAATTCAGCAGCAACAGAAGCAGCACAAACAACGACAGCAACCACTAATCCGACCATCGAGAACGACGGTGGCGAAGACTACGAAAACAATACAATTTGCTGCAGTAGCCTCTTTCTTCACGTTCCCCACTTTTCGGTGGTATCAAAAGAGGATCAGCTCGCCTACGTCTCGGGCGTTCTCCGTGCACTAGCAAAATGATGYCTGCCCTGTGATGGGTGCCTTCGAAACGCTGAGTGTATATARCATCGCTACTTTTACCATAGGCATTTGGCACAGCCTTTATAACGCCGAAATGGAATGCACGGTTTGTTTGCTTTGCTGAGTACTCGTTTGGCTAGACTTTTTGCAAAAGTGATCTGTGGAGCAATATCGCGCTCCATCTGAACCAACCGTACATTTAGTTCTGGCGACTACGGACTCCATCAGACCAATGYGCACTATACCTCTGAGCATCTACAATTCGTCTATCGCATGGCATTCCACTTCGATTCCATAGAAATATCWGAGCGTTGGGGTTGGTGTTGAACGAATACTTGATTTGAATTTTTGGAAAAGAATACRACCACAAAGTGCAACTGCTACAACCATAAATACTACCGAAAAGATTCTAAGGATAAGATTTGGATTTTAAAGGTTCGGTGCTATAACTCATTTTATAAAGAAATATAGTACTTGCTAATCAACAAAAGAAAATGGCCTTTAGTCAGTTTGTTAGCCATCAATCGGCACGAGCAGCATGAGCTAATTCCGAGAGGCTGGGCGGAGGGTGTGGGTGTGCGAAGGGTTGTCGGCCGAGGGTAGGAATGCTATATGCACAGGAAAGRGGAGGAGCGAACTGTATGTCTTTCTGTAAAACGATTTAGAAAGTGACATCACGCTTGGCACTGATGGAAACATCTCCGATATCAGTTCCACTCAATCCTGCGTTGATGTTGGCGGTCCAGTTGTCGTCCTTCCATTCAACATCGATGCTCTCATCGGGAGTGAGGGTGGCGGTCAAGGAGTTATCGTCTCCGAGGGATCGTTCCCATGCAACGGAGATATCGCCGTTGCGGTTGATAGTAGGAGAGATCTTGTTGTCATCATCGAGCTGTTGYGAGATGGTAACTTCTTGGTTGTCGGCGGATGCGGTCAAYACAATGTTGGTGTTGTCCATGGTRTGGTCGAGRACAACTTCTTGGGCATCCTTCGATGCGGTCAACTTAACCTTGGTGTCTCCCATATCGTGGTTGACGACAACTTCTTGGCTGTCRGCAGATGCGGTGAGTTCAACGTTGGTATCGCCATTGTCGTATGTGACAACAACATCGGCATCTTCGGAAGCAAGCGAGTAGGTTGGGGTGATGGTAASGGAGGCACCGTCCAAGTCCATGTTCTTGGTGGCCGAGATGCTGTCGACACCGCCATCGGCGGAAGCAAGAACCTTGACAGAGAGGTCGGCATCATCGTTGGCAGCGCTGACTTCAATGTCGGTGTCACCGCTTCCCATATCCTTAGTAGCTCCGGCAGTTACACCCCATCCACCAAGGTTGGTCTTCAGGGTTCCGAAAACCTTCTTAGGGAGCGATGCAATATCGGTGGTGGGTCGAGCAGCGGCTTCGATTCCGTAYTCGAGGTCCATGTCACCGGCGGAGGAGGCACCCGACCACGAAAGGGTGGGGTCCAATCCATCAACTCCGTCAAARTTTCCATCGGYAACAGAGATCTAAATTGCAATGAACAACGGTGCGAGYGAGTAAATTAGACGGGTCGGTCGAAATGGCRAAAAGTCCGACGGCAAGAATTTCACTGGACCATACTTACGGAAAGGGAAGGTCTGGCGACAGCTTCGGCCGAGGCAACGACGGCGGCAAGTGCGATAAGAGAGAACTTCATGGTGATTGATTTAGGAAGAGTTGGTGAAGAGGATTTGATGCTTTTGGTTTGAGCAAACTTTAAAATTATGAGAACAAAGATTGCTCTTTCCTCTGGCGCGAGTTTGAGTGGACGACGCCTTTTTTCGGATATCCTTGCACACAACTTCACCACTAATCACCACTTTTGTCGTTGGTGGGSCCGCATTTTTTCATTGGCGAGATCGTTTTTTCTCTTCTCCTTTTTGCGGTCCGGATTTGTTCAAGAAGAATACATCAAAGATACTTTTCCTCCTTCAATCCGCAGTATTTACAAACGTTGTTGACACCCCCTTGACACCTTTCTAACGTCAGCATTTTATTGGTTTGTACACGTATGGACCCATCTGTCAGATCTTTGGATTTTMGTGAAAACTACTGCCAGTCGTACAACTGGCCGGCTCGTTAATCGTTGACTTGCTTGACACGATCTGTTTTTAGTGATTTTTCCTTCCCACAACATCTGAGGATCATCACTCGAAAGTCCAAACGGAAAAGATTTTTATTCAACACGACGACGACATGACACAGATTTTCTGTTCTCTYGYCGGATTGGATACTCAACCGTTGTCGAAAGCAGCTGACAAAGATCTAACGGAAGAAATTAAAACTATTAAATTAGATTGCTTCAATGCAACTCGTCTCGTGCGTACCGGTGCCCTGAGAATCGAATCTGTGTGAACTAGAGAGATAGCGGTCGTTCTGAAAAGGAAATGCGCCATTCCGCAATTCGAAGCTGGAATCTACGACTATTGTGCCAATGACGACGACGTGTTGACCAAAAATCGGRTGCAACCAAATGAGACGACGGCTCCCGACTAAGTGGTTTTGGCGTGTATTATTTTGCGATCAAATGATATCACAACGGCGATGGTGCTGTTCGACGACGCSTCTGCAGTGAGTCTCGCCATACAATTATGGATTGCAAATATTGGTTATGCTACTAGTCGTAGGATTTTCGACAACCGGTTGTTATTTTTTCCGCGAGATTGCCAACTTTGGTAGAAGAAAATATCTGTCTTGGGTGAGGAAAAATAAAACTCATATCGTCATGTGGACGTCGCATGCGGAATCTGCCGTTTTTTTGTCGGTAGGTGCTCAGATTTGATTTCCTAATTTTTGATTCTGTGATCCATTGCAACATACCGTTGACGCGKAAAATTATTCGATTCGTCGATCGGCCGATCTGGAGTTGAAAAGGTTGGATCGTTTTGTAGACATGCTGTTTTTCTTTTTCTGATTCTAAATTTTATTTGTTTTTTTTTTAAATTTTATTTGTGAATTCATTTAGTTTCTGCTAGAAATTATTCCATTTTTTCAGTGTCGAAATAATAGCTCGCATGACTGGTCGGTCGATCAAGCGGCTTGGCATTGCATTAATGGTGCTTTCTGGTGGGATGRACAAAATGGTGTTTCCCTCCTAACGAATTTTATTCTGTCGTCAAAATTTAAAAATTACAGGAGCGGCCGATTTTATTTTTCTTTGCAAAAATTCAAAACACATTGAGAATGAAGAATTGATTCAGAGCATCCATTTACTCAGGAATAAAAATCATCTTTATTCAACGAGGTTGTCATTCAAAAAATACTGTTTCGATTCACACCAACATTTTCATTCTGTACATTCAAGTCGAAAAAAATACACCGAGTGACTTCGCGTTGAATTCGTTTTCGTTTGCAAACGATATCGAGGAAAAAACTATTCTGTAAGAGGGAATGGATTCAAGTTCTTGCTCAAGGCGATTGATGACTACTTCCGTTCGGTCAATTTGCCTAGCACGGGTGTCGATAAAGAAAGTCATGTACTGGTTTTTCTTGAACGATTTTTGTTAACCAAGAAACCTCGGTTATATATCTAACCTGCAATCGCCACAAATAGCCAATGACTGAACACGAAATTGCTKTCAAGGCATATTGTCTATTTTCCAACTCAACAATAAACCAACTAATGGATTCACCAAGGAACGACTTGGCTTAATTTCAAATCAAATGCTATAAAGAGAGCGTGTGCAATAAAATCAAATRCAAGGGGAGCTCGTTTGAAATCAAGTTGGATCGTCCATGATCTTGGCGTTTCACTGCCTGTCTTTTCCGAAGTATTTGGCATTGCGGACAATTGTTGAAGCCGCTGAAACGACAGTCACAGGCTSAAAATAATCATTGATGCTCAAAATTCATGGTGACTCAGATCGGGACGAATTTCTTAAAACCATGAGATRGGGAATGTGTCTATCTACGACTTGATATAGATTGGCATAAATAAGGTATGATATTGAGCTATCCCGAAAGCAAACATTTTCTAATTTTTTGAAACGACCCCTTCGGTCGGTTTTAAAACACGTCCGCTTTGCAATGCGGGCAAAGMYGACCGTYTGTCGCTCGCAGAATTGCTTCTTCGTATATTGCACCACGAAACCAATACTACATAGCATTGAAGGAGTCACGAAAGGCGGAAGCCAGATTTGTTTCCTGCTCCTTGTCGACAACGCAAGCCTTCCAGTGRGCAAGCTTCGGATTGCCAAGCACCGATGCCAAGACTTCTCTCGCAAACTGTAGAGGAACTCCCGACCCAGTTTCGTCACCACGCTTATAGAGAAAACGGTGCTGGTGCGACCTGGTTCGGATCTCTGCGTAAAAGTAGGAGTCGCCCTTCTCGAGCAACGCCTTGACCCCCAGGTCGGACTGTATGGGTCGCAGATCAAACCCGCTCGCCGTGGCGTGGGCCATCATCGTGGTTTGCAATTTTGTGGATGAATCCCTCGGGATCGGAACGCACTGAATGTGCGTGTGGTATCCCCCCCTGGTTTCCATGGCTCGCTCAAAGACGAACAAATCCGAGTCGTACGTCTGCGATGCGTGCTTCTGTGTTTTTTCGACAAGCTTGAYCCACTCCTCGTTCAGGGTCCAGGCCCCYTCGCTCGTGTGTTCGACCGGAACCAGCARGACGTGGCCCTGGTGGACGGGCCCCTTCGGCATTGTCGCGTACCAATCGTCGTAGACCCCAGTGATCAGATGGGTTTCGCACGTGGGAGAGGACAGGCAAAACCAGCAATCCTTGCGGCCGTCCGCCGGATAATACTGGCGTTTCATTCCGAGCGCTTCAAGRACCTGCTCCCGGCCTCCCTTCCTTGCATGGTTCTTGTTTCCCGTCGCACTGGAGGCCGACCCCTTGGCCCACCGAAGGGTTGTTCCCACGAGGTCCTTTGGCATTCCCCCGCCTTCCGCCAAGAGACCACCGTCCGTGCTCTTGGTGATCGCTGCCAGAGCCATCGTTGCCGCCGCGTGCGAGGCAAACTCTAGGAATCCGTACTGGTCCTTGCACCGGACCTCCACCCTCAGGGCGGGTTCGCTGTCGGCCGTGACCCGTTCCTCGTCTTTCTCCACTCCGTCGTTGAGGGCATCTTCCAACACGGATTGTACATAATCCCGTAGAGTTGCCGCAAAGCCCGTGGGTTTGTTGCTTTGTGGCTTTGCATCTRCATCTCCCGARTCGWTCTCCGCGGCATCCGCCGTTTCAATTGGGCCGGTATGGTTGTTCCCCCCCTTTCCTTCATTGCTTGTAGTAGCATCGGTAGCACTCGAATTTGTGTCCTCGGATTTTTTTYCATTGTCTGTTTGTTCTGCATCGGTGCCCTGGGCTTTAACCTCCGCAGCCGTTTCGTCGTTTTGTTGATCGGTGCCACTATCKACTTTGGCCTTAACGGAATCCTCTGTTGCGGCATTGGATTGGCTCTCGTCGTTAGACTTCGATTTGTTGGATTYGTCGTTGGCAGTCGTTGTCGACTGGTCTGAAGCCTTGCTCGTTCCTTCCCGTGTTGGTTCGGCGGCTTTGCTGCTGTTGCTACTACTACTGCTGCTGCTGTTCGCGACCAGTTTCGTGTTCCGGGGGGGATGAAAGAACAGAGTGGTCGAGTCCTTGGCTTCTTCCTGGGTGACAAAGTGCTGCTGTTGCTCCCTCCTCTGCCGCTTGTGGTCGTTTTGGGCGTGAGGAGGATGCTGCTGTTGCTGCTTTGCCTTTGTGGCCCATTTTAGGGTCAGGTYGACGCTGTCGATGGTAATCCTGCCGTTGCAGTCCAGGAGGCACTTCGCCGCCTCGGCCTGGGAGGGGAATTCCAGGAAGCAGTAGGTCGACGTCGGGACGCTGGGGGGGTGCCGGACCTTGGTCACGCCGTACTTGCCAAAGGCCAGGAGGACCTTTGGCGACCTAGTGGACTGGAGCTCCCCCGTCACGTCCCTGTGGAGTCCGTACAAGAAGAGCGTCGACACGGTCGGATCKTCCGGGGGTTCCAGGGAAACCGTCTGGTCGCCCCGGTGGCTTCCGGCCTCGCGCCCCCGCTTGCTGCCGCCGAAGCGGGAATAGGCCGCATCGCCGGCGTCCCCCCTCCTGGCGAATTCGGGGACGCGCTGCGGCCCCGACGAGGCATTCGCAGCCGGGGAGYCCCCCSYGGCAAAGGGGCAGGGCAGCGTCGAGGGGGCCGCCTGGGGCTCCGGGCCGGAYGCCAGCGGGACCAGCCCCAGCGCGTGGACGAACTTGTTCGGTTTGGGCGTCTTCCCGGCCCTTACGCCGGCCAGGGCCAGAAAGCGGCCGGGGTGGTCGCTCCCCGGCAGCCGGTAGGGCGGAGAGGCGTGGAAGAGGGCCGACGACGGGCAGAGGTGGTACCGAGGGGTGCAGGCCAGGGCCGCCTCGGCCACGTCGTAGGAGAGGGGCTCCGTCTCGGTGTTCAGGACGTCCTCCATTCCCTGCGGCCAGTCGGAGGACAGGAGGAGGTCGCAGGGCRGTTGCCGCTCCGGTAGGTTGTGGRWTTCCCGTGCCGGGGCCCGATAGTGCCGGGGGCAGGAGGCCACCCGCAGGGGCTTCCCGTTCCCGAGCTTGATGCGGAAGGCTTGCAGCCCGTTGCCGTTGTTGTTGTTCCCTCGGAGGTGGTACAGATTGGAAGAGGCTCCCCCGAGGGAGACGATGCCCTGGTCGTCTGYGCCCACGGAAGCGGCAGCGSCGTTCGCTTCCTGGAAATACACGGGCATGGGAAAAGCCTTCSTTTCCGCCTCWGGTTCCGTGCTMGTTCCGTMRGCGCCGAGATCCGCGGGCCCGACGCAAAAGCAGGCGTCAAAGGGCCCCGCCTTGCTGTCGTTCAGGCTCTGCAGCTTTTTCCGCAAGACGGAAAGCTTGTCGCCCACCGAACCCACCAAGAGGATCTTGACCTTGGACATCGTGGTTGTTATCCTTGTTATCCTTGTTGTTGTTGTTGTTGTTGTTGTTGTTGTTGTGTTGGCGGGCCTCGTGCTGGTTCGTTGTTCGGTTAGCTAGCCTATGGTGTGGGCAGGTTATTGCGTCTTTCGTCCAAGCGGACACTCGTGCTCGTGCTCGTGCTCGTGCTCGTGCTCTGACCGTGGTGGTTCTATGGGCGGGACGGGACCGGAGGATTCGGGTTGCGATTGCGATTTGCTGCTGCGATACGAACAAACCCGTCGACAGGAATGATTGTTTGCTCCTGATTTTTGATTTTGGACTTGGTTTCGATTTTGAGGGTGAAATGAACTTTTTGTGATGCTTCGGAACACGAACACACACACCCCAACAAATCCCAATAGAGGCGACAAGGTGGAATGCGGTCGAATGACAGACAAMGACCGTTACGAACGCGCGTGATGCGCAGGAAGCCACACCTCGGTCATTAGTATCTTTACCTTTATCCCTAAAGGATATAAAGGACGTACATCGTACTGTACTACTAGTACGAAATATCGTACAAACGCACGGTCCTTTGGTACGTACCGTACGGTACCATAGGGATAGGTTCCGAACCGTGTATCAGAGCTATCATCTTYGAATAGAAACCGTCATTTCCGCGCAACGGAATCTAGGAATCGAATCGACAGGATTGAATTGAAAAAGATTGTACGAGTAACGGCAGCAAGTGACAAGTCTGCCACAACACTACAAAGCAATACTGCCGGACCGCACTTCCATCCACCACCCTCGACGAAACTGGTAGACGCGGCACAGGAACCCGGGGTGGATCGCAATCGGTCGGGAGAAAAAGAGAACGACGAGAACAACCGAGAACATTCAGTACGCAAACTCGCACATACCTACCGGTACATACCTCACACACAACATCCCAATCATGGCGTCAGCGCAGAAGACCGGAAACAATGCTGCTGCTGCTAGAAACGGCGATGCGACGGCCTCGGTACCCGCCCACGAAACGACGGAACGCATTCCCCAGCTGTCCAGCGCTCCCCCGTCGGGCAACAATCCGTTGTCAAAGCCCCCCRACCCGGGGTCCCCCTCCTCCTTTGTGCTGCCACCGCCTCCCCCGCCGCCGCTGCGAACCACGGCAGCAGCAACAGCAGCGCCAATCGCACCACCGCCACCCACTGGCGCACTTGGTTCGACCGGCTTTGCGCTGCCTCCCCCTCCCCGCGTGACCACGACAACCCGATCCACTAGAGCGAGATCGACCCCGTCATCGTCGCCATCGCGGCCCGAGGCCGGGAGGAGCCCTCCCTCGGCTCCCCCGCCAGCTCGCCCACCACCTCCGCCACCTCCCCCACTGGTTCCGGCGAACCGCCAGCAGCAGCAACCCGTTCGGCAAGAACCAACGCAGCAGCAACAACAACAACAAACAGCGCAGGCCGAACCGGTTCCGCGGGCACAAGAACCCGTACCGATCCCTTCTCCGCAAGCAATAACCACCAMCGCAGGACCTCCTTCTTTTTTGCCGGTGACCGCCTTTTCCAAGTCCTGGACGCCGAAAAACAAGTCGGAGCAGCAGCAGCAACGCCTGCGGTCGATACTGGCGCGCCGACAGACACACGTTCCGGTTCTGGTCATCGCTACCGAGGCGGCGAATCGAATGGCATGGAAGAACGGCCTGCAGATCTCGGATTTGTTTCAGGGCGTCGTGGAAGACATCCATCCGAGCCTGCAAACCATGACCCCCTTTCGGAGCGTCAATCGGTCCCTCTTTCTCAAAGACGTGAGGGTCCGGTTCCTCTCTTCTTCCCAGCTCGAGTCCCCTTTTTCGTACGAGGAAACACAGGAAATGATGGAGGAACAGCTCAAACCGAGGGAAGAAGACGGGAACATCGATGAGGACCTGACCCTCCTGGAGGATCGCATCGACGAGCTCCTTCAGCAYCCGCAACCAAATTCGAGCAACCATCAAAGCACCAACAGCGTGTTYGGCGATGACGGAACACAGCAGGGAGAATCCCTCGAGGACGTCACGAAGGAGGCCTTTCGGCTGACGAGTCCACTGAATTCAATGCCGTGGCTGGCACGTTACCGAAAGGTACTGGATCGGTCCACCGATAGCTTGCCGCACGATCTGATCAACTGCCCTCCCCTCGTYCTCCTGGTCTGCACGGCTACCAAGGAAGTCACGGATCCGGAACACGTCTTACAGGAATTGTATCAATCCAACCATCTTTTGCCCGAGGTGTACAAACGGGGCCTGTACGACCCCTCCACCATCAGGCAAGAAGTTCTGGTGCTCCACGACAACCACGACGACAGCGATGCGGCCTTTGACGAGAAACGACTACGCCAGTTGCTGCGGTCGAGGTTTGGTCCCAACTCCTACATCTTGCGCATCAACAGTTCGTCGCCCGAAACCGCTGCRGCCCTGGCCCAGCAAGAATCCTCGGATCTATGGGGCGGCGGGGGCCGGCTCGGAACCTTTCTGAGTGACAACGATCGGGTCTTGCTGCGACGCTATTTCCAGTCCATGCTGACGACGGCCATACTCCCCTCCCTGGAACGACGGATGGCGGATCTCAACGCGATCGTGAACGAGCGGAAAAAGGGAATGAGGAACCTCGTCAAGTCCTTTTGGAGAAAACCAAAGGACGAAACCAGCGGAAGCGGCGATTCCAGCAACAGCTACGGGCAGTCGRCCTCTTCCGCGGCTGGTGCCGGCGGAGACGGTAGCAGTGCCGGCGTKGAAGAAGTCAAGTATCGATACGATTCGATCGAATCCCAAACCCACCTACTGGCCGACACACTCTTTTTGATGGAAGACTACGACAACGCCCTGGCAATGTACCGGTTGGTCCGGGACGATTACAAGTCCGACAAGGCATGGGTGCACTACGGCAACGTCCTCGAAATGATTGCCCTGTGCATGTACCAGCTAGATCCCTACACGAGGGCACGGGAAATCTTTGGCATCTTCGAGCAGGCCTTGGTCAACTACACGCGCGCCGCCGAAGAAGAACGYGTTCGAAACGATGCCGTGGCACGCCAGCTGGGCGAGCAGAACATTCRGCACACCACCCACAAGTCCTACATTACGCGGCTGGCGTCCCGGTTGAGCCTCGTCTTGGCYACGGCGTCGGAKATCCTAGCCAGGGGCCGCAGCCTGGAGTGCGCCGATTTGTTGGCCAGCGTGAGCTCTTACGAATCCAGCCTGGGCGCCGCGGTGTTGATGGAACAGTCCAGCATCTTTTACTACAAGGCCGGAATGTGCCGCAAGTTCGCCTTTCACATGCTAATGAGCGGGCACATGTTCCAAAAGGCGGGGCAGAACCATCACGCCTTTAGATGTTTCTCCAGCGCCCTCTACATCTATCGCAACGAGATGTGGGACAAGCTGTACAACCATCTCAAGACCGCCCTGGCGGCACAGCTCTACACAATGGGACGCATGTCGGTCGCCCTAGTTCTGTATGCAAAACTRATTGGGGTGACTGGAGGGGGGAAGGTATCGGTCCAGTCCCAGCAGAAATTCCTCGAGCACCTTTTGCAGATCTGCGAGACGCACACCAAGGCCGCTCTGGCGGGAGCCGATCGCATGCTGGTCCCCCCATGCGTTCCGAGAAACAAGCGAGAAATCTATCGGAACGACCGATTGGAACAGGTTGTGCACGTTGTCCARTATACCAAGGGTGCTTCCCGTGTACTGGAACTTCCCAACGTAAATCTGCCCAAGATTCCCGATTCCAGTGTGCGACTATGGACCATGTTCGGCTCGGACCACCTTGTCGGGGAAACCGGTGCGACTGCCKAGGCCGASGAAAYCAGTGACAGTACTTTCGGAACACCCGCCAGGGGCGACGAAAAGGTTTGGGAAGAGCTAGAAATCACGACGGTCGCAGAAGTCAGTAATGCTGGGGAAAAAGACAACGGCGGCAAGCACAACCAGTCGGAAGAAACTATTACGGCAGCCCTGGCCAAGATCGAGGACCCCSAGCACCGACGATTCATAGCGGARATCGACAAGGAAAAGCAAAATAGATCCCTGATGGAGCGCAACCAGCGAAAGAACCSAAAATCCAAGCCCGTCGTTCGCGCCAGGGGAGAACCCATCTTTTGCGACTTTTCCATGAAAAACACACTGGRGGTCGGGGTCAAGATCACTGAAATACAATTGGTAGCCCGAATGGTCGATAACTCGGAAGACARCAACAAGATGTGCACCAATGAATTTGCCATYGAGCTCGGGGWKGGAGATTGTACCGATCATCCCAAAAGTGAATGGAGGTTTGCGTGTGCCGATCATCTGGAATACACGGTTCCGGATTTTTGCAGGATATCCGAAGCAGGCGTCAAATCCTGCCTTCCGGCAACGTCCAGCCCGTTTTTCGTTGTCACCAAGCAAGAAGTCGAGCTGCCCGCAGACGGAGAAGCAGTTGTTTCGACTAGCATCGCACCGCTGGTCGAGGGAGACCTCGAAATACTGGGKTTCCGGTACAAGCTTCTCGGCAAAGTCTGGCTGTATCACTCGTTCGATATCCCGGGCCCCTTGTTRAAAGACACGCGAACGAACATTATGAACAAAGTTCGGGGRAAGTCCGTATACCTAAAGTCGAAGATTGAGTGCGATATGCCGTGTCTTACAGCRGAACTTGTCAGGAGATTCCMACCCGGATCACCGACTGTTGATATTGACGATGGCCCTATGCTCGAAGGGCAAATAAGTACGTGGACAATTCGACTCCGAAATGTGGGATCAGCACCCGCATCGACCGTAACTCTCAAAACAAACCTGCCTTGGATCGATATCGTGGAACAAGAAGGTGCTCGTTCCATGCGTGACAATTCAAACCCCACTTCACACTGCGTAGGTCCRTCGGGAACACTGATGACTTTGCCCATCGAAGGAAGCATCCAACCAAACGRAACCTTGGATATCCCAATAAGGGTTCGAACATCTGGCGAGRAAAAACAGGACTTTTACATGCTATACCGTTACGAACTCGAAGGGTCGGAGGAAGGGCAGTCAAAACGTCGTCGAAGTCGATGGTTGCGGAAAATGTACGAMATACCAGTGTACCCGTCCCTCTCGTTTAGCGCAAAGCCGCTGGCATGTTACTGGAAAGGAAAAGATTTGTTGGTTTCCGTACAATTGTCGAACAATCGCWTGGACCGCCCAACGGATTTGTAYGTCACCCTTGATCGTCTAAGCCTGACAAGTCGCAGGTATCGTCTGGAAGCATTGCCCGGGCAATTYACCAGAAGTGAAGAATTTGGAGACGTYTTACAGATTGGATGGCAAGAACAGGTCACTGTGTTTTATCGAGTTKTTCTRCCCGAGAGTGATACCGGAGAGGAAACAATCGTTTCGAGCGACTGTCCATTTTCGGAATCTGGATGCRCCACTACAAAMGAATGCRCATCCTYTTCGGCAACCAATTACCTTTGTTTAGCAAATGCTTTTGCTTCTTTCCAGGTAAGAGGAAAAAGTATCAGAAGTCCAGATGAATTTCTTGGCCCTTTTCCCACGGCTAATTTTGATCTATTTTTTTTTCTTTGATTTGTAGTCTACGTGGAAAGCGCATAAAAAGGAGATAATGAGGATAGAAAACACTCCRGATGGCGAGAAGGAGCATCCAAGATCGATCCACTCGATTCGTCGGGCGAACACWACCGACGTTCGAGGAGAAAACGATCCCGCCCTTGCCGAGATAGAAAACCATCCCACGTCCACCGGAAGCTTGTGCCCGCGGTCGACCAGTGCTTCCGAGATTCACCTGACCTGTTCGTGGCGCGCTATTCTGGGACAGGAGGTCGTCCACGGCGAACACCACCTCCGTGGAATCCCGATCCGGCCCCWSACCTTYTTTCACGGATGCCCSATCGCGGCCTCGGCGGATCACGCYTCCCGGATGGAGCACGATTTTTCCGAGAACCATCCCGCGCGCATCCCGATCAAGATGACGCTGAAAAACCTMATGCTGGAAACCCCCGTCTCCTTCCTCTGGAGCTGGGACCCACCCRCCTCGGTGCGGTCCTCCCTCGAACTGATTGGARCCTGYCAGCAGCGGCTCGAACTAGACGCGGACGCAGAAATCACGATCCCCCTGGAGGTCCTGGTCCCGAAAGCCGGGGTTTACAACCTRCAGGCCTTGCGGTTTGYAGTGGACTATCCACGCGGTACGGATGCGACCGATAAGGACGTTGTGACGCACCATCTGTCGGAGCAGTGGCTGGTCCATCTCCTGGATTCGAAGGCAAACTGAAACTTTCCGTGASCCTTGACTCTCAGAAAGATCATTTATTGCACGAGGATGAGGATTGATGGAAAGCAGTCAGCTTCTTGTTGCAAGGGTGRATTTTGCTACAGCGATAATGACAATATGAATACCAACATGATTGCATCATTTCTAGTTCRTAATTCCTTTGTCGAATTGRCTTCTCGGAGTTTTCACCGAGGATTGACGATAGCATCACGAAACAGGGGGGGCGGACCAAGCATAATGCAAGTACTGTAATTGCATTAATTTAGGGTGTTACAAACTGCTAATCAGYTCTAAATATCTAAAGAATGTTTCTAAATCACCTCCTGGTCAACAATGTGGCTCTTCCAACGACAAAAAACCTGGTCCACTACTGTGGTACCCTCTGCGCTTGTTGTCGGTGCCGTTGCGACCAACCCTGGCACTGGGAGTGGTTGCATTAGGTTTTGTTGTCAATGGGGAGAGCAATGTTGGGGCGAAGAAGCGTCTCCCTAATGGGATGTTTCTATAAATCGGAGCGACGGTGAGTGAATTATCGTCGTTGTTGTCGTCGTTGTTGTCGTCGTTGTTGTCGTCGTGGCGGATCAATGCTTGCGATCGAAATGAAATACTTTTTCGAGTCATTGACACTGATTACTCGGGACTCGGCGCAATCCCGTGGTTGTTCCGAAACGAGGAGTTGCGAACCGTCTCGGTAGGCAGCGAGGTCGGTCGGCGGGTCCTAATCCGCAAACCGAACCTGTTTCAGCTTGTCGGAAGAGAGGCCCATTTTCATCATGCTCTCTCGTAGGCTCTCGAGGCTCGCCATGGGTTCGAGACCCTTCTTSCTGCCGTTGTCGCTTCCGTTCGGTCGGTTCTTCGAGGTTTCGCTGGCGCAGGCAGAGTTGCTGCTTCCGTTGCGCATCCACGACAGGGCCACGGGTTCGGCGGAGGCTTGCTGCTGSTGTTGTTTTCTTTGGGCTTTTCTCGCGGCCTTGCGCTGGCTTCGCCGCTTGTGGTACATTTTGACAAAGAGTTCTTCGTTGGCGGTTCGCTCCGCCGGTTCCTTCGTCTCCAGGCGATCCACAAACTCCCGGATCCGTTCCTGCCGGTGCTTTCTCCCGCCGTTCCTGCCGTTGTTGGCCTTTTCCTTTCCAAAGGGAACGACCCCCAGGCTCCGGATCATGCATTTCCACAGAAAGCGTTCCTCGCTGGGCGTCCGATCGGCCTCGGGCTTGTCCTGGATCCACTTTGTGTACTCAATGATCGAGGACTCGGGCAGCTGCCAGAGTCGGCGCTGGCGGCGGCCACCGACGCGGCCCCCCACGTGCGGAGGCTTGTGTTTGTGCTTGTTCTTTCCCTCCTTTTTGGGAGAGTGCTTGTGATTGTGCTTGTGCGGGTGCCTCCGCCTCTGCGCCATGGCCTGCCGTAGCGGCGACAACGACTTCGRCACGGCCACCGGGTGGGTGCCMTGGAAGGRATTCGCACCCGCACTCTTGTCCGTGGTGTGGTTGMCATTCCTTTCCTCGCTTGCGCCCGCGTTCATGTCCACGTCCGCATCCGCACCACCCATCGTCGCCGTGGCTTCCGAGTGGGATTGCGGAAACAGCATCGGCGGGTATGGAAACGWATRGAGAATCTCCTTCGGGGACGGTGCTGGTGCTCCTACTCAGTGTCGCGGTTTGACACTATACTGCACTGYGTACTGTGTCGGATTCGATTTCCAGCTAGGTTCTCCGGGATGAAGCAAAATTCGATGCGCTGGTAAACCAAGGGACTCGAACAACCGACGAAGATCGAACCCAGAACCGGACCTTGTTCACAACACCAACCAATCGATGGATCGCTCGTGTGTTTGTCCGTGCCTGCGAATCTCTTTGCCGTGTGAATATATGAATCTACCCTTGAAGCGCAATGTTCTCGTGTTTGCGAGCTGGTATCGCTTTACCAATCGCTAGAAGTGTTTCTTGGTCTTCTTATTCCTTCTTTTTTTCGATATTATGGGAACTACGGTATGCTGATGTACCGTATGCTGTACCAGTACCACCAGTACGAGTACGAGTAGTACCGTGCCGTACTCTTTATTGTGTGGATTGCGTGAGAAGCAAGAAYTCCGTAGCGTTTATTGGTTTCTCTTCAAACCTGGGCCACCGAACGTAAGTGCGAGCTCCTAAAACAACAGTGCCCAGTAGTACTTACTGTACTTCGAATTAGTCGTAAAAATTCGAGAAAAAACAACTTCCGTATTCGTTAGGGGATACATAGTTTCGTAACGCTAAAAAGTACCAGTACGTAAGTATTCCTAAACCGCCGTACGTACGTACTGAACGAACGGGTTTCAACAAATCTAATTGTTCGCGGACAAAACTACCGGTATGATGTATCGTACTACAGCGTAGGGACGTACGTACGTACGCTGCGAGATACACTTCTAACTCGATACACAATGAGAAAAAGAAAAAACTACTTTTAAAACCTTGTGCTACCGTATGAATGATGGGTTTCATTTCCTATTAAAGGTCACGACAAAGCGCCTAGCTAAAGGACTGTGGAGTGGAATGCGGGTGTCGCAATCATTCCGAATACGAAACGACACGAAATGAAAACCCGGCACAGTTCGGTGCTGCAAAGGAATGTRCGCAAACCGGTAGAGGTGGAGATGGAATCCGCCAATGGTGCGGGAAGCCAAGCTCCGTTTTTGAAAAGAAGTDACAAACCTGGACACCGGAGCGCGAAAACCAATAAAGAGGCCGATGGAAGTCCAAAAGAGGCATCGCGGGTTYGCCTCTCCTGTCTGCTTGTCACAGGCCAGGGCAAGAAAACCAAGTCTCGATCGGACCAGGCCAAACAGCAGAGGAGAGCAGTGTCGTCCCCACTGTGAGGCAAGCCKAAACGCTAGTAGCTGCTTTTGAGCAGCGGTAGGTTCTGTGCTCGTCGCAGTAGTGTTTGCAATCGTCTTTAATCCCCGGAATCGACTAAGCTGCCAGTASTAATGTACTCTACTAGTAGGCCATTGCTGTGGAGGACCCCTCTTGCTTTCTCTCGAAGCAAGTTAGCCGGTGGATCTTCCTAGGCATGTCATTCATTGTTGATCTTGATGGGGTTTCAAAAAAATCCAGTCAAGCAGTGTTGCAACCTGATGCTTTTTCCAGAACCTCTAGAGCAATGGCGGTTGCGTCATGCGGGATTTGTTGGTTTTGGCGTTCCGTTCCGCTCCGGCGCATGGAACGGCCAGMAGCCGAGGACAACCGGCAATGCATCGATGCCCATCCAGCGTTGCCCAGTCGGTCCGCAACCCCAACCCCAACCCCAACACCCACTGCGGTAGACACTACTAGAAACTGTAACCCCCGGGGTGCGTTCCTTGCCCCTATGGTGCCAGGGCRTGGTTTGCGGCTCTGCTGCGGTGCCGGCGATATCCATCGTACAGGCCCATGGCCAGGACCAAAACGCCGGTGGCCCCCTTGACAGCGACCTTGGACCTCGTGGTCAGGACGTGGAGCGTCTGGAAGGGGAATCCCTTGGCAAAAAAGGCCTTGTTSCCGCTGCCCKTTCCGTGTCCGGTCCGGGGGGGAGGATCCCAGGAAGGGCGGGGATGCGAGGCCCGGGCGCGGTGCTTGCCGTGGAKCCGGTCCAGCAGCAGGTTCCGGGCCTCGAGGCACCGGCGGAACCGGGCCGGATCGGGGCTAGCGCCTTGCGCGTTCCCGTCCGGGTGGTGCTTTTTGGCGGCGATCCGAAAGGCCCGCTCGATCTCCTCCCTCGGAGGCCGGCCGGAGAGTCCCAGGACACGGAGGGCGTCGGTCACCGGATCCCACCGCCGAAAGGACATGGCGGCAACCGGACACTGTGCTTGCCGCTGGCTCGGTGCGGTGTTGTGTTGTGTTTTCTGTGTGATTTTGTGTTGGTTTTATGGCATTCTCGTTTCCACTAGCAAGAGGCGGTCGTCCCCCTTTGCGCTCGCCCCAAACAATGGTGTGCTCAGCTGCGGGCCGTCTGGAGTGTTCTTTGGGCGTTTCGTTCGGGGTACCGCCACTGGAATCGCGGCCTTCATTCGTTGACCGGACTCCTTCGACCTATCTCTATGTGCCGAGCTCGTAATCGATGACGCGATTACAAAACCGAATTCAGTACGTGCGGAACGAAAACGACCATCGCGTACCGTACGTAGTGAGAACTGTGAAACGTTAGTACTGTATTGTCTACGAGTACGTACATACTGCCTCACAAAAACAAATAAAGTCACCGAACAAGCCGGTTGCAGAGGCGATCCCGGCCAGGGGTCTAAATTATGACCCCCGATCCCGGCAAGGGTTTGGGTCGAACCGGTCGARAACAATGACGCCGCGCCGGGTTTCGGATCCGGCCATGCAATGCCGGGCAACRCCGCGCCGCTTTTTGCGACCGGGTGCTCCCGTAGAACCTCGTAGAAAATGGTACGGACGAGGCACTATCGCATCTGATTGGACCCTTTCGTCCAATGCGTGSCACCGGAGACCGTTTCGCCGAAGGAATCAAACCCACGGATTCGAACAAAATTTCGAAATTACTTAGGAAGCAAAGACGGAAAAAACAAAATTTGAGAGATGCACATGTTGCATTGCCACGCGAGCGTTCGGGTTGCGAGCCGCAACGCATCGAGCGAGATTCCATTGTACGTACCATTCATCTACAACCCGTAGTCGTGCTCGTTCGCCTCAACTCCAACTAGCTTCGCTGCGGTATGTTTGTTTGCRTGCCGGTACGCTACTATGATACGTTACGGCAGCGTAAGCTTAGTACGAGACGCGAGGTTCTTTTGGCTACGTTGCGCTGTGCTGCGTCGCGTTACCACGCGTTGCGACAAAAAAAGATTGCTTAGTTACCCAAAAAAGAACATACCCGCCCGCCGTTTGTTTGCCTGCTTGTTTTGCTTGCTTGCTTGCCTTGCGCTCTCTCTTGCTGTGCTTGCTTACACGAAGCGACGAACGCACCTGCCCCMCACCGCAAAGGAAGAGAGTGAGAGCCTAGCTAGYAAGCCTCGCCTCGCCTSGCCTCGGCACTCCCTCCTCTGTTCAAATCAAATCGATCCAATCCCCTCCCCATCAATCAAAACAACACAAGTAGTAAGTGCGTGTCGTGCATCTACTACCGTAGGAAGGACCCTCCACACACCGTCCGCCACAACCGTGACACAGACACACCCACCCACACACAAACACACATCCGCACCATCCGTGGGAAAGCAACACATAGGTGAACGCCGCAGGCACAAACCGAGTCTCGAAGATTGGATCGACGAGATTGTTCGAGTTTGGCCTCCCTGCCTACCACTGCACCAAACCGCACYATTCGCACGAACCAACACCGTGTGATTCACCATTGCCTTAGCCAACAAAGATTTCCCACTGTCATTGACCGGCAGCGGCAAGCAAGAACACGTTGAGCAGAAGCAAACAGAACGGAACAAGACGAACCCAAACAGAACAATCCGCACAATCGCACCGTACCACTAGAACATAACAGAACAGAACAAACAGAACAGAAGCCTCGACARCGAGAACGCGAGGCAGAGCAGAACGAACCTCGTTAMAAAACGAGGTTAATTTATCGAGAGAGCGACCGATCGGAGAACGCCAGAAACCTTGGAGGAAACTGGACACGGACGGGAACGCATCCTCGCCATATTATCCCATCGGAGACAAAGCAGACCAATCCATCCGGAGACACTGAGAACCCGACCGTAGCGCAAAAAAGCGTCGCGGTTCCGTTGTTGTAGAGAGCAGCTGAGCACGGCCATGAGCGAAGACGAGTCCAAGCCGGAAGCCCCGTCCGCCCAGGGGGAGGTTCCGAACGGCGAGCCACCGGGAGAGTCCAAGCCGGGAGCCCCSGGGGAGGATTCCAAGCCCGACGCAGGAGGCCCGTCCGCGGAAAGCGAGCCATCCAAGGCGCCCCCCGGGGAAGGGGCTCTCTCCCCGGCCAACGTGAAGGTCGARGAACCCCAGCCCCCCTCACGATCGTCCCCCCCCGAGAGCGAGCGGGTTCCCACGCCGCCGCCCCCTCCCGGCGGGGACGACCGGGGCGAGGAGCCACAACAGCGCCCGCCRCAGCCGCCCCCCGAGGGCCCACCCGAGGACGAGGGCCACCCGGACCCGCGCATGCCCCCGTACATGCACGGGGGGCCTCCGCCTCCCTACGGCTACCCGCCTCCCCCCATGCCCCACGGATACCACGGGGGGGCCCCGCCGGACGGGGGAGGGGCCACCCCGCCGCCGGGGTACCCGCCCCCTCCGAGGGGATACGACCAGGGGCCGTACGGGATGCCCCCACCGATGGCCTACGCCGGGTACCCTCCGGGCTATCCACCGTACGGGGGTTACCCACCGCCCATGGCCTACGGATACCCGCCCTACGGGTATCCCCCGCCGGATCCGTCCATGGGGGGGGCCTACCCACCTCCCCCCGGTCACCACGAGGATCACGACGGCCCCCGTATGGGGGGACCGCCCAGCCCCTCGAAGGTGGGCCGGGACGAGGACGACCGYAAGATGAAGGAGGGCCACGATCCCCACGGGGGACACCCGGACCACGAGCACATGGGCGGCGAGGACGGCCGGATGGCAATGGGAGGAGACGATCAGGAAGAAGAGGACATTGTTCCGGGTGCCGTGACCGCGGGGCGCCTCAAAACCTACATCAAGCCAAGGATTCCGACCACCCAGGACGTCCTGGACCGCCGRGCCCGCAAGAACGCRCAGTCCCGTGCAAGGGCGGCCAAGCTGAGGGAACGGATCGCCATCATCGARCAGAAACCGAACCAGGAGCGGAACGAGGAAGAGATGCAGATATTCGCGCAGTACGAGAGCCGGAGGAAACGAAAGAACGATCGCTCGAGGGAACGGGCCCTGGAGAAGAAGGAAGAAATCGATCGGATCCTTGCCAAGCCCGAGAAAAAGCGGTCCAAGATCGAGAAACAGTTCCTGGACAATGCTCTCTCGGCAAAGAAGCGAAAGAACGAGGGAGATCGACTGCGCCGGCAGCGTCTGAAAGAAATGGGCCTGGCGGCAAAGGGCGCCGCAATGAAGGCTGCGGCCATGGCGAGGGCCGCCCGGCACGGGTACCCGACGTATCCCCCTCCTCCCTACGGCTACGGCGGGCCACCCATGTCTCCCATGCCCATGGGATACGGRCAGCACCCACACATGCAATCCCCGGGGGGCTTTGGGTCCCCCCCGCCCGGCATGTATCMGAGCCCACAGCACGGAGGCCGACCCGGCGGGCCACCGGGGACACCCCAGGGCGGGATGCCCTACATGCCCCCGAGGGAAGCCTACGAACAGCACCCGGGAAACTCGCCCTCGCAGTATCCAAATCCCCACGGTCCGGGCGTCGTCCCCGGCAGGGTGGAACAGCGGCGCCACGCCGATGGCTCCATGAGCATATCGATCGGGGGAGGAGCCGGTGGAGAGGGAGGCCCGCCGGAGGGAGGCGGGGGAGACCCGAACATGGCCGACGTCTCTCACCTCCTGATGTACGACAACGCGGAGGGMGGCGACGGTCCACCGGGTGGCGCCGGCGGAGAGGGAAAATAGGAACGAACCCAAACCAAAAAGGAACACCGCGCCGCTGCGCGTCTGGTGAAATCCAAAGGAGACGCCAGACAARAAAGAAAACACCAGCGGTAGGCAAGAAAGAATCGATCAACCGTGCGATCGAATCGTATCGAATCAAATTGAATTGAATCGACCGGAACAAGAAAAAACGGAACCGATCGCAAAGAACCGCCGTGCCGGGCCACGGACCAGAATCCGTGTGCCATACGGAATCGGACTCTCTATCTTGCCCCGTATGTGCCACCGAATGCTACCGCGTCCGTACACGTCGCGCAATGCAGAGCCACGCAAGGCTCAAGCTGCAGAGCAAAAGAGTACCAGAAGAACCAATCAATGAAACCAAACCAAAAAAGAAACCATCGGATCTCGCTTTTTGAAAAACGAGTGACGAGAACCAAGAAGAAAAAAAGTGTTRGGGGGAGCTATGGGTCGTATTGTTATTATTATTGTTAGTTGTGTAAAAGTATTGAATTGTGAATGGTCCATCCAGAGCGCACATCAAGAGCCACCACCAAATCAGTTGCTGTCTCGGAGACCGAAAAGAAAATATGCCCATGAATAATCGTTTATAATATTATATCATTTTAGTATCATGAATGAGTGCTTCGTACGGTAATGTTTTCTGGGCAAACGACCTATAGTGCTGCCGATGTGCACAAAAGAGAAAGTGAAAAGCTGTCAGCGGAGGAAACGGTCATCAATTTAGACCTTACCTATTCCTATGTGGCAGGACATGTGAACCGATGTACAATAAGGTCCGTGTTCAAGGTGACAAAACTATTCGCAATCTTGGCTTACTCAACTCAAATTAAGAATGACGCAARTCCTAAAGGATGTTCCGATGTAGAACACACATAAATATTAATGGCTACAGTTTAATTAAAGGTACATGTTCGTTTCGGATACTGTTTACGCAAGAAGATCCAAATGAGCTTGCATTCACCATGGCCACAATGTCACTGGAACGACCGAGAAACGATTCTCAAACCAGCACGCGAAATGACCGCACAAATACATCAGATAGGATTTGTTCRCTTAAATTTGAAAGAAGAAAGGAAGTCGTCTGTTTGTACTGTGTGGAGATTAAAATCTCCGGTTTGGTTTTGGTTTGGTTTGTTGCGGCGGTAGCAATGTGTTGTTCCTGTACAACTGACTGATAATCGCTTAGAAGTCCTGCGAGGCCTTGGAGTTCATCTTTGTCTTCTTRGGAAGAAGGACAGCGTGGATGTTGGGCAAGACACCTCCGGACGCAATAGTAACGTTTCCGAGGAGCTTGTTGAGTTCCTCATCGTTCTTTACGGCAAGGGTAATGTGTCTGGGAATGATACGGGACTTCTTGTTGTCTCGAGCAGCGTTTCCGGCGAGTTCCAGAATTTCGGCACAGAGGTATTCAAGAACTGATGCCAGGTAGACAGGTGCTCCGGCTCCCATGCGAGTGGCGTACTTTCCTTGTCGGAGGTAACGTCCGATACGACCAACCGGGAATTGGAGACCAGCCTTTTGAGAGCTGGACACCGAACCCTTCTTGGCTCCGCGTCCTCCCTTTCCTTTTCCTTCGGGGAGGATGGACAGATTCACACGGTTTAAAGAACATAGCGTAGAACATTATCGCACGACAGCAGTCARMGTGGAGTACGGGTCAGAAGGAGTTTCAAGATGAAGCGAGGAAGAGCTGTGATCTCCATTCAARTTGCGAAACGTAGAACTGTGGCATTCGTCTCCAATTCATCAACGCAGACAATCTGTTCATGACTTACCTTTTCCAGACATCGTAAATGTGGGTAGATTTATATAATAGAGCAGTCAACGAAATAATTTAGAATTGTTGTGTGCTGAAGTCAGTCCTGACAGATAGCGAAAACTCTTCGGGCGATCTTGAAATCTGCAGATTTCAGGAACGTTTTACTGCTGCTACTGGATGTTTCGTTCACGTCTTGCTCAACTACGTTACTAGTATTACTGTATCGGAAGCTCTAGTACAGGTGCAAMCAGAAAAGCTACGTACGTTCTTTAACGTAGCAATAATACAGTAAAAAGTCGCTTTCGGAAAGAACGAGGACGCCGTGCACCGCGCCAGAATTTTTTTGATCGAGAGGAAGGAGGAAGAGGGCTCGAGAAACTTGGAGCACCTCCGAAAAAATTCGTTTCTTGTGTGCTGCAACTAAATTTCAAGTCAAGTGAGTCGATGATCGTTGTGTCCCCCTTTTTCCCCCAAAGATGATTGATTCTGATGATGGTTCTTTMTTTCGATGCAAAGAGACCCCCAAAGGCAACATCAACTTGCGATCCTTTACAGACGTTTGCAGTTTCTCTCTTCCTTGTTGTGAGGGTTTAATCGAAGCAATAAGAACGGCACGATAGAAGARTATCGGCAAGAAAGATACGAGTACAGCAGWTTCCAAAGGAAAAATGACATCACAGCGCAACAGCATGCTACGAGGACTGCTCCTTCTTGTCTTGTGTACGACTACGGCCTCTGGGTTCCAGAAAAGTGCGCTTTCCTCGCGGTCGCCGACCTTTGCACAGCCCGCCAAAAGCAACGGCCAATCAGTGGTCCTGTTTCTGAACACGCCTCCAAACTATGATGACAATGATTTCGACGCAACGCCCTCGGGTGGATTCGATCAACAGCAAGATCTACCAGCGCAGTCGATTCCTAAGCTCAAAATCCCCAAACCTTCCCTCTCCGTTCCAGAAATCGATTTCAAGGAAACCCTGAAAAAAATTGCTGTCTTGGCGGTGACCGTCGGTGCCTTTATTGCCATTCAGAAGGGCGGAATGATTCTTGCAGAAACATTTACTCCCGAACTTAGCGAAGAACAGGTTAGAAACTTTGTACTTTGAAGAAAAATAAACCCTGGACAAAACTAYAGGTATCATTTGCCGCGGCTAAACAYTATGCATCGTGGTTGTTACTGTTAATCCATGAAGCAACAAATGGCACATTGCTATCTCCGAAAAAAACTGGAATATCCGGATAAGYTTAAGTGATAAAWATGACAAGCAGAGAGATGACTAGTTCTAATTCCTGACGCCATTCAGGTCGCAACTCTAAATTAAATATTTTGCACACAATKTATATAAATGAATGAGTTGGGATTAGCTTATTCRTCATAGAAAGGTAGGAATTGATTGCCTTTCTTCTTTCGGTGGTATAACTTAGAAGTGATCAACGCAATCAGCAGCCAACAAATGCAACACCAACCACCTACTGCGTCGGTGACGAGAGCCGGCGAAAGGTTGTCACAAGTCCAAACTCGTTTCCCACATTGCCCGGGAAAATAACGACCGGCATGTTGGGATATCGGAGATGATCTGGGGGACATTTCACAACACTGCAGCCCGGTAGGATCTGGCCTAGCACGCGCGATGTTTTCAAGGCAAGTCCCTTGCTCAGAACGTCGTTGCTTGTGATGCCGCCCTTGCTGATCAAAAAGCCGAGAGAGGGCGGCAAGGTCTGTACAACATCCATCAGGAAGGCAGAAACGGTTTCTCCGAACTGCAAGCGTTTCTGATCGGTGTCAAAGTCTGTCAGTTCAGTGCGACTTGTATAGATAACGGGCGTTGTWCCAGCCGCGTGCAGCTGTTCAATCCGAGCGACCGTCTCCGAAAGCATGGCTTTTTGCTCTTGGTTTCGGATGCGTTCTACTTCGATTTCCAGCCCTTCCACCGAGTYYTCCTTGAGCAGTTCGTTTAGTTGCAAGGAAGTCTTTTTTACGTGGGATCCCACAATGATKGCGCCGGGGCAACCGTTGTTTACGTAGCGGCCCATATCTTCAGCGGGTATTGGTTGCGGGGGCAGCATTGCCAGAGATGTGAGTATAGAGGCACCGCTACGAAACAGAAACTTTCTGGGGTGATCGCTGTCGCGAGCAGATCTCGCGATCACGTCTTTCAATTGTTTCGCAAAATTGTCCAGATCCGACTGTTCCTCGCAGTCCACCACGCAACACGTATTTTCTTTCAAACAGAAAAGCCGATCACTACARTCCCCCCGAACTTCATTCAGCTTGAAGTGCTCCACTCGATCGGAGGGTATCGTGCCCTTCGTCTTTTCTGCTACGTAATCAGGTAAGTAGGCCGTTGTGTAWCCAAATACCGAATCTTTGGCAAATTCCGTTTCGTGGCATGGGATCAGTTCGTCGTTGCTTTCACCCGAAACAAGATAATGCGTCCCATCACGGGTAATTCTTCCTCCCTCAAAAAAAGCCGGTATCAAAAAGTGGGCATCAAAGGGACCAAGTTCTTCGCCGATGATGTTCGTTTCTACAGGATAATGGCCGCGGAGGGTAGAGTCGGATCGGCTGACAAGTATCGGATTGATTGTAGTGTTTGCGTTCTCCAAGGTTGAGAGAGCACACTTCAAATTTTGGCAAACCTCTCGAGTAACATCAGCTGCTCGTACAGGTGACATGCCCCTCGTGTTCGTCAAAACGAAAAATAGCGAGGATGAAGTGTCGGTTAGCGCTATCACTAACGTTTCYACATCCCACTTCGTCAAAAGCAAACAGGAATGGACGGTCTGAGATCCTGTGGGATCGTCGTCGAGGACTATGATTTTTGTCGTCGAATTAGAAGCCATTGTCTCTTTTCTGTAGTTTCTGTCGGTTCAATGTATTGTTTACCAACTGAATAAGACTAAARTGCTTTACTTAGTTATTTGTTGTCTAGATGCATCCCTTAGTATCGTCTACTTGTAGATCACATCTGATGCTGTACAGATGCCCCCAGCTCGTGAGATTTCCAAAATCTTAATCGTTGGATTAATACAGAATTTTTGTTTTTTATTGAAAAATTTATTACCAACTTCGTCATTCGTCATTCCTTGGATGCAACTACAAGTACAGATTTAGTTTTGTATTGTTGTTCCAATAACGTGAAGCAGTTTCAAGTTTTCATGTTTTACCTTCAACACATCCTTCTCTAAACTAAATGGTAAATTAGGTCTTTTGCGGTGCGCTGCAAGAGCAAGYCGAAGCTTGGCACSAAACTCCACCACACCAATCTTACGAATTTCATTTCCGTATCTCGAAGAAACAGTCATTCATCTACTTCGTATTCCAGTTTTTTTYYT